TATCTTTATTTATTAAAACGAGGAGGGATATGTGAATGTATGCAATTTATGAATGCAATAGACAATTTAAGGAGAGAAAAATAAATCCTTTTTATTAGAAAGTGTAAATCCTTCTATACAATGCTTTGAAGCAAATGTTGACAAAAGCGAAAAAGCTTGAAGAATCCTATAGGTAAATTAGGCTTTCTTCGTAATTCGTCTTCAGCTGTTATCACGTGATTTCTGAGCATCTTGATTTGCTCAGATACCGCCTGGCTCATATCTTCACTATATCGACGAGCCTCTTTTATCTTTTCTTCTTGATGAACGATCAAGGCATGCTGCTGATCAGACCTCTCTATTATTCGGTCCTTTTCACGGAGTAGTTGACCATACTGAGCTAATCCATCCTTTTCTTTTTCATGTAGCTCTTCTAGGTCTTCTCTGTATTTTTCAGCGGTTTCCCACCACTTTTGTGCTTCTGACCGAGTTTCTGCTAGGTCATCTTGTATTAACTTGATCGTTCTTGCCTGTTCTGCAAGCGTGCTCTCAAGATGTGCTATTTCGTCATTCATGTCCCGGAACAGACTATCTTGTTCAAGTCTCGGAATCTTCAATGCTTGTTTAGTCTCTTCCTGATAGTCAGCACAATCATTCTTGAGACGCTCTATTTCGTGGTCCTTCTTTTTACATTGCCTTTTTAGACCATCTATTATAAGGGTTGATTCTTGATCTTTTTCTTCAAAAGCCCTCAGCTGAGCTTCCATGACTTCAACCCTCTTGTTTAAGGCATTGACCTGCAATTGTAGCTCTTCATTTGCTAACGTTGTAGTGAATGCAGCAGATGGTTGGGGTATCCCTCTATTTTTCCTCCATTCTTCATATTCATGGGATGTAGATACCTGAACCTTTCCGAGTTCTTTATCTCCCATATAGACTGGTCTTTCCCATGCTTTCCGGACAGCGGATATTTCTTCAAAGCTATGGGAATAATGACATAGACTCAGCCCTTTGAGCTCTTCCAGAGTTGGCGCGGTCTGGGTTCTCATAAGTTGTTTCATAGCCATCTTAGGAGAATAGGCTATACAACCTCTAAGACCTAGAAGTGGTATGCTCAGGTAATCTCCGCATCGCACGAGAATATAACCGGGTCGGAACCAAGGGCAAACCCATGATACGTGTTCTATGTTCCAGCTTTCTAACTCGGTTTTCCATTCTAGTACTTGACGATGTTGAAGAGGGATTTTTGAAAAACTCCTTAAAGGATCAGGAAATACGCCCATGTGGCTTGAAGCGTAGAAATGAGTGACGCCCCATACGTATAGCAATGAAGTGCAGCATCTAAGTGTTTTCCCCTGTTTCTGTCGGCAAAAATCTACGGAAAGCAGGGTGTCAGCGAGGATTGCAGGTATAGGACTCTTTGAGTATACATCCCAGGCAAAGAATGCGTCCATTGCAGCATGATCCACGATGTTCACATGGAATGGGAACAAAATGATTCCGAACATTGCTAATGCTAGAGTCTTATTGAATGTAGACCAGTCCTTCTTTTCAGCCAAAGAGACTAAATGGTCTTCTATTACAGCCATTTTCCAACCTCTGATATTCCCTTTCCCCTCTAGGGTGGATTGATGAGGGGGCAGTCGTATGATGGTAGCAACCTTACTCACGACTACATATATTCCTGAGCAAACGTAGACCCCAACTGACTGAGGCCATCTAACCATGAGTTCATATTCTTCCAAGGTTGGTACTAAATCAAACTGTGAGAACTCGAAGCAGTGTAAACTGGGACTCCAGAAGTGGACCAATGCTCTAACGAATATTGGATCAATGCTGATTTTCAGGAGGTCAAGAATTCTTCCGTAAGATTTCTCAAAACTAGCATAGACCTCCGGCGGCATATATGTACACAAATGCCTTAACTTCTCCACACGGCATAGAAGGATCTCCACTTTCTTTAATTGTCTATTACTGGATCCCTCCATTATCTAGCAGAAATGAAAATGCATGATATGAGGATGAGTTTTTGTAAATGCATGTATGCAAGTGTTTTGTTTTTCAAAGTATTATCATGTTTTATTCCTAATATGATGCATGACAATACTGGGTTTTTCTTGTAAGGAAAGCTTATCTATATGAATGTTTATAGATTTTAATGAAGAGAGTCCTATTTTCTTCTCTTTTTATTTTCATGAACAAAAGGTGGTGTGAATTATAGGACTTTTATAAAAAATCTTTTTATGGTAAAAGATATTTTTATGGCTTTAATTTGTTTTTATATTTTTTATGACCCTTTATCTCTTCTGTCGGTCAACGTGGCTACTTAGCTTACAAAGAACCTGAAACCAGGCTAGCTTAACTGAAGACTGTCCGAGATAAAGGTCTTTTATCTTTTCACTTTTTGTGATTTTTAGGGTTTTTCATTTTTTTGTTTGTTGTATGATTACCCTATGCTAATGCATCAATACAAATGCAGCAAACAAATGCACACACAATTCATTTACCCACGAGCAGAGCCACGCTTATTTAATCATGAGGTAGGGTTTTCCTGCAGAAACATGCTTGGTTTAGGCGGTTCTAACTATTCTCACCAAGGCCAAAGGTCCCCAAGGTGCCCCCATTATAGGGACCTCTCAATCTCTCAGTCCTCGGGTCATGCACGGAATTCCGTGTCGACATCCTTAGACCAAAAGAAGAGAGTTATCACCTTGAGTTGGTGGTTTCCGACAACGGTTGTAGCCCCGTGTGCCAACAAGCCGGTCGTATCTGCCACCCACTCCCTATAGGTATTCACTCTTGCCCCCGGGTATAGAGGGACTGTTGTGTGCAAGGGTTTTTGTGTGCAATTTATATTTCAAACAATTTGCAGAAGTAATCATACAGCAGTTATTAAAGCCATACAATAAAAATACAGAAAAAGGGTAAAGGCGTAATTTCAAATCTTTACTTAGTTTGAATTTTTTCGTCACTAAATGGGATCAACTCTCTAGCTTCCCCAGCGGAGTCGCCATCTGTCGCCGCCGTCCGTTCCGACGTCCAGGGACGTCTCAAACGTTAATGCGAGCGGTCGCGAAAAGATGGTTGAGACTCGCGTTTTTTGTTAAAATTATGTTCATTGCTTCCGAGGTGCTCAACACTGAACTATCCTCTAAAAGAAGCAAGGTTTTCGAAAAGGGTTCTTTTGGAGTCGCCACCAATGTTTTGACCATAAACATTGGAAAAGGAGAAAAAGGCATTGATTTTAATAAAAACCAACTTGGCCATTATAACCAGAGTCGGGTAAGGGAGTTAGTTACGTGTGGGGAAGGTATTAGCACCCCACAACGCCCCTTTCGGGTTCCCTATGACGGATTAATTCATTTAAGTTAAGATTACAAAAAATTATGCGATTACCCTTATTTTATTCGTACAGTAAATATGGCTATCTACATGATTTTATTTACATTTTATGAAGCAATAAATAAAGCAGTAAAGGAGAAGAGATTTGAGAAGAACCTCCGTAGCAAGCTTTATATATCAACTCTGTTACAATAAGGACGCTTTTCGGCAGTCCCTCGCTCTACAATGACTCTCCTCTCGATTACAGACTCGACTCGACTAAATTTTCTAGAAGAATCGAATGCCGGAATACAAATTCCTTAACTGATTGTTACCTTTTAAAGGCAATCAGAAAGATCATTCGAGAGAGGGAGAGAAGTAGACAAGTCTTCTAAGTTGTCTGGGGTGTGGAGAATGACAAATGAGGCTCCTATTTATAGCCATTTTTCGCCTGTAACTTTGGGATGGCCGTCTGGGTTGGGACGGCCGTCCCAACTGCACATTTTACACTGGGACAATTTGGGACGGCCTGGTGCATTTGGGATGGCCGTCCCATTTGAATTTAGGGACTTGGGACGTGCGTCCCAAAGGTGAGACGTGCGCCTCACATGCATTTTTTGTGTTTGGGACGGCCATCCCAGTTTGGGACGGCTGTCCCAAACTGCTTTGGCCTATCTTTGCGTTCCGGGACCCCCAAGAAGCTTTCCTTTCCTTTTTTCGGAAGTCGTTTGATGTAGATGTGTGTCCGTTGAAGCTTTATCTTCATATAGGAAGTCTTCTTGGCCTTCATTAAGATGCCGGACGAGCTTTGTCTTCGTGTAGGAAGTCTCTTTAGTCTTTATTGTGTGAATGGGTGAACTCCGTCTTTGTTGTGGGAGGTCTTTCTCGGTTTTTCTTTGATATGAAGCCGGGTGAACTGTATGGAGTTTCCCTAGCTTTTATTTTGAGAGGTCGGGCAAAATTAGGGGTCTACACCCATAGATAGGAGAATGACCATGAGCCTTATTGTATTTTGAAAGACTTGGCTTTGTACCTATTTGTATTTGAAGAATTGATGTATTGTACTTGATTTATATATATATATATATATATATATATATATATATATATATATATATATATATATATATATATATATATGCGTGTGTGTGTGTGTGTGTGTTTTAATGAATGAATGAAATTGTATTATTCAGAAAAAAAAATTTGGTCTCTCATGAAAAAAAATTCTATTTTTTCGCATATTTAATGCATGTCATATTCCTTATAAAAAATAAAAAGGGGGTTGTGACATTTAGTGGTATCAGAGCATGGTTTAGGTAAACCTACGAGGTGAGGTTCTTAGGTTTCAGTTGTGCATGTTGAATAATGGTTTTGGATGTGAGATATAACCATAATTGTCAGGTGTTGAGTCATGAGAGGATGAGCCTAATCACCTTGATTCTCTAGCATGATCAATGATGGGAAATTATGGCATATAACCTTAGGGTGAGCTAATGATAGAGTATAATGTGTGGGGCAGAATGTGTAAGTTGTGCGCTTTACATGAGGAATGTTATTTTGTAGGGATTTGTATGTTAGGTTTTATATGAGTAAGAGATGTATGCTATATGCAAATAGTAAATGTTGTGTGCTTTGTATGTGGTATGTGGAGTGGCCTGAGCCTTTGTGACTGTAGCCTGTGTGACAGGATTGTGTGATTGATGAGTTTGATACTTGTTGTGTGTATGAGGGATGGACTAGTGTATGTGACATGTTATGTGAGGAATGTTGTGTGTAGTAGTGTGCTAAGGTGTGGTTTCTACTTTTTAGATGGCAAGACCACCCAGGAGACCTACTTCTGATCCTCCTTCTATAGATATGAGTTAGATGGCTCATGCCATGGATGCTATGGCGACAGCTATGAGGCAGAGCCTCAATTTTATGCAGCAGCAAGCTGCGAATTAGGCGGCTACTATTGCCCAAGCAACCACTACTGCCGCCACAATGCCACCACCTGAGTACTAGGGGTTGGCTGAGTTTAGGAGGTGTGATCCTCCAAAGTTTACAGGAATTAATGGACCCGAGATAGCGGAGCAATGGCTAAGGGAGATAGAAAAGATCTTCCTCACCATGGGCTGTGCCGAGGGAAGGAAAGTGATGTATGCCGCCTACATGCTAGTGGGCGATGCTGAGATGTGGTGGTAGGGAGCCTGGGCTATGCTGGAGGCCCATGGTGTGATTGTAATATAGGAAGTATTTCGTGACAGTTTCCTTGGGAAGTTCTTTTCCTCCCATGTTAGAGCTCCGAAGGAGAGAGAGTTTCTCAGCTTAATGCAAGGAGACTCCTCAATGTACGAGTATGCGATACAGTTTGAGAGACTGTATAGATTTTACTCCCAAGCTACATCAGAAGAGTGGAAATGTCAGAGGTTCTCGGATGGTTTGAAGGCCGACATTAAAGTGATCTTGATTCCGTTGGAGATCACAATGTTTGCTAAGTTGGTGGATCATACCACCATCATTGAGGGGTTGATGCAAGGGGGAGCTGGAGGGGTGGGAAAGGCCCAGTCCAATAGAAGCAACGAAAGCCAAGGGAAGAGTGGGGGTGCAAGGAAAGGCCCCTACCACAGTCAGGGTAGGAGGCAACGGTTTCGGTCTACTCATTCTGGAGGGGCAACCTCATCTGTCCCTAGGCCTGTGGGGATTACTAGTTCTCCACTTATGCCACGAGGTGTAGGTGGACCGTCATGGGTGACCCCAACACCATCTGTTGTGAGGTGCTACTGGTGTAGTGGACCACATTTCATGAGCCAGTGCCCGCAGCCTGGCCAGGTGGGCTAGAAGATATGTTATACATGCAGGCAGCCAAGACATTTTGCTAGGGAGTGCCCCACTACTCAGAGTGGAGCGGCATCTTCCACAGCTAGTGCATTGCATGCCATGAGGCCCAGAGCTGTTAGAATTCCCTAGGCAAGGAGGCCCAAGGCTGAGGCACGAGTGTTTACCACGTTTGGGATAGAGGCGGCCTAGGCGACAAATTTTATTTAGGGGACGGGCACGGTGGCAGGTATGCTCCTTTCTATGTTGTATGATTCTGGAGCTACACATTCTTTTATTTCGGATGCTTGTGTGAAAGAGTTGGGTTTGTCAGTGAGTGAATTATAGTGTGAACTTGTGGTGTCAACCCCAACTTCGAACTCAATCGTGACCTCAACTGTGTGTTTGGGGTTTCCATTGGAGATTGAGGGGAGGCAGTATAAGGTGAACCTTACTTGCATTCTGATGACGGGGTTGGATGTGATTTTGGGTATGGATTGGCTGGCTTCCAATCACGTACTCCTTGATTGTGCTTGGAAGTGTTTGGTGTTTCCGGAGCGTCAAGGAAGTGTAGAGTTGATAACGGCTCAACAAGTAGAGGCTTCTTTGTGTGAAGGAGCTTCCTATTTTCTACTCTTGGCTATGTCAAGTGCAGAGGGAGAGCACGACCTCCAATCATTACCTGTAGTGCGAGAGTTCCCGGAAGTGTTTCCGGAGGATATTCCCAGATTACCCTCGCCTAGGGAGGTAGAGTTTTGTATAGACCTGGTCCCAGGGGCGGAGCCTGTGTTTATAGCTCCGTATAGAATGGCACCAAAGGAGTTGGTGGAGTTGAAGGGACATGTTGAAGATTTGATGTAGAAACGGTTGATTAGGCCTAGTGTGTCACCTTGGGGAGCACCGGTACTGTTGGTGAAGAAGAAGGACTAGAGTTCCTGGCTGTGCGTGGACTACCGTTGGTTGAATAAGTTGACCATTAAGAATAGGTATCCGTTGCCAAGAATTGATGACTTGATGGATCAATTGAGGGGTGCTAGAGTGTTCTTCAAGACTGACTTGAGGTCGGGATACCACCATATTCGGGTAAAGGATGAGGACATTCCAAAGATGGCTTTTCGTACTCAGTATGGCCACTATGAGTATGTGGTGATTCCTTTTAGAGTTATGAATGCACCTGCAGTGTTTATGGACTACATGAACCATATCTTTGGGCCTTTTCTGGATCAGTTTGTGGTAGTATTCATAGATGACATCCTCATCTATTCGGGTTCAGAGGAAGAGCACGTGGAGCATTTGAGGATTGTCTTGGGCATCTTAAAGGAGAGGCAATTGTATGTTAAATTGTCCAAGTGCGAGTTTTGGTTGAAGGAAGTGAACTTCCTTGGTCATGTGATCTCGTCGGAGGGGATTGCAGTGGATCCTTCCAAGGTGGAAGTGCGTTGAGATGGGAAAGGCCGAGGACGGTGACTGATATCCGTAGCTTTATGGGTTTGGCAGGGTATTACCGGAAATTCATTGAGGGGTTTGCAAAGATAGCTTTCCCATTGACTCTTTTGACCCATAAGAACCAACCCTTTGTATGGACGGAGCAGTGCGAGTGGAGTTTTGAGGAGCTAAAGGAGAGATTAACCACTTCTCCAATGCTGATTCTCCCAGATGTCAATCAGTTATTTGAGGTGTATTGTGATGCCTCCCATCAAGGTCTTGGATGTGTGCTGATGTAGGAAAAGAGGGTAGTGGCGTATGCCTCACGCCAGCTGCGAGTTCATGAGCAGAACTACCCCACCCATGACTTGGAGATAGCAATTGTGGTATTTGCCTTAAAGATTTGGAGGCATTACCTATATGGGGCTCAATTTGATGTATTTAGCGATCATAAGAGTTTGAAGCATCTGTTTGATCAAAAAGAGATGAATATGAGACAGAGGAGATGGATGGAGTTTCTGAAGGATTATGAGTTCCAGCTTTAGTACCATCCGGGTAAGGCTAATGTGGTAGCTGATGCCTTGAGCAGGAATGCTATTCAGGCATTCTCCTTGTCGTCGCCGTCAAAACGAGGCGGTCGGAGCGACGCGATGGTTTCAACTTTCCATTTTTCGCGTTTTTATTGGTGTAGTTACAACGCCTTTAGGTTGTCCGATAACCGGGCTGAACCTAGAGGCGAGGTTTTCGAAAGGGCGCTCTTGGGTTGTCCGATAACCGGGCTAACCCAAGAGCTAATTTTTGAAGGGTTCATCTGGAGTCGCCACCGATGTTTTTACCGGAAAAGGAGTGAAAAGGCGTTGGTTTTCGAAAAACCAACTTTGGTCATTAGAACTAGAGTTGGGTAAGGGAGTTAGTTACGCGTAAAGGAAGTGTTAGTTCCTTTACGATGCCCCTTTCGGGTTCCCTATGATAGGCCAGCTATTTAAAAATAATAAAACCGGTGAAAATACGCTTTTACCCTTTTATTTGCGGAATTTTAAATTATGACTACATGGCCCTAATGTCTATTGCGTAATTTAAAATAAGGCATTAAAAGATAGAGAGAGAAAGTATAAACCTCCGAAGCAAGCTTTTCTATTAATTCTTTGAGTACTAGGGTGCTTTTTGGCAGCCCTCTACTCGTTAAAATGCCGAAAACGCTCAAAAATGCTCTAGAAAACTCTTAGAAACTCCAGAAATACTTCAGAGGGGGTCTAGAGAGAGAATTTGAAGAAAAGTCTAGAGAGAAGGAGGAAGAGCCGTGGGAAATGAGGAGAATGGTGCTCCTATTTATAGGGATTCGCGCCTGTCAGGTCGAGACGGGCCGTCTCGTCTAACAAGGTCGAGATGACCGTCTCGCCTTGCAGGAATGGCGAGACGGCGGTCTCGCCATTCGCGAGTGGCGAGACGGCGGTCTCGCCATTCGCGAGTGGTGAGACGGCCGTCTCGCCAAACAAGACGGCGGTCTCGCCACCTTCGCAAGGCAAGACAGCGGTCTCGACCCTAAAAGGTGAAAATCCTTATTTTTATGCCAAAATGCCTCCTATCCTAGTATGGGGCCTAATAGTCTCTCCTAGTGGCTTCTTAGGCTTCATCCATCTTCAAAAAGGAGGTCTTCTGGTCTTTATTATCAGGCCGGGCAAGATTTGGGGTCTACAGCTACCCCCCCTTTACTCGACTAGTCGACTGTTGGCCTGTTGTGCCAAGGAGATCGACTGGAGGGTAAAGGAGTTGACCCTCTTGCCCGGTTGTCCTTCAGATGTTCCGTCTTTGTGGCGGTTGATCTTCCGGAAAAAAAGTGTGTTGTGCACCTCCAGGATACTCCTTCTGACGGTAGCCGATCCTTTGGGCTGGTGAGTACGAACACTCATCTGGTTTGACGAGTATGAACCCTCGCCCGGTGAGCCCCCTTTTGTAAGGCCTGATGAGTATACACCCCCATCTGGTGTTTGATGAGTATGAACCCCCGTCCGGTAAGCCCCCTTTTGTAAGGCCCGATGAGTATACACCCCCATCTGGTGTTAAGCCTCCGGATGCTCCTCTTTGCGGTAGCCGATCCTTCAGCTGTGATGGCGGCTTACTACTCTAGCTCATGCGCCGTGCGTTGAGATGTACTTTCTTTGTTTTTGTTTGTCTTTTTATGGGAATGGTCGTCCGGTCTGTGCCGGGGACTTTGTTGGTGTTCATCCAACTTGTTGGTTGCTGGGGATTCTTTGATTTTGATTTTTTGGTGGTGGTCATCCGACTTTGTCGGGGATTTTTTTATGAGTGCCTCTTAGGTAGGCAGGAATCCTCTAGGGATTAGTTGATCTTGATGGTGCCTCTGAGTAGGCAGATACTCCATTGAGTTTCTGGTAATGCCTCTGAGTAGGCAGATGCTTCATCGAAAGTGAAGACTTTTGGCTGCATTTGTTTTGCCTCTGACTAGGCTGATATTCCCTTATGGGGATGCTGGCTCTTGCTTGCCAAGTCTTGCCTATGCATAGGCAAATGACATTCTGAGGATGAATATGAATTTTTGCCTTTGCAGTAGGCTCACTGGGGATGATCTTTCTTTTTTATTGATCCACCGGGGAATTGGTTGCCTTCCCAGGGATCTAATTTTGATTTCCCCTTTGAGGGAATGGAGTTTTGACTCCTTGTTGGATATTGTTGGTATGAGATGGCTTTGCCGATACTCTTGTTTCATTGGGATTTCCTATTCCTTCTTTTTCGTTGATTTTCCCTTTTCTGCGGTGACCCACTTAGGGATTTTATTGATTGCCTAAAAGTAAGATTGATTTCGCCTTTTTTTCGTGATTTATCTCTTTTTTATCGCGATTTTGAAATCTGGCTTTTTATGGGGATAATGCGTAAGCCTTTTTACTTTTTAGTCTCTTTTTATTACGCTGGCTTTTCCCTTCTTTTTGGGGGGTCCACTAAGGATGACGTTTTATTTCTTTAGTGATCCACCAGGGAATTAGTTGACTTCCTGGGGATCTGATTTTTCTTTTCTAGGAATGGAGTCTTGGCTCCTTGATTGATGTTGATGCGAGCTATACTTGTGAAGATCTTATTCCACTGGGGGATGGGAATTTCTGATTCCTTTCTGTAGAATTTTTTGGAGATCCACTTGAGGATTTTTATTCGGCCCTCTCTGTCATGGCTTTTTTGGACATCCGCTGGGGATGCAAGGGTTTTCTTTTCTCTTCTTTCTTTTTGTTGAGCCCTTGATGGTTTGGACTCTTTTGACTGTTGATGATGATGGGCTCTTGAAGCCTTTATTCTCCATTGGGGAGTGTGGAGGAGACTTTGGGTGAGTGTGCTCGATGACTCATGTGATGGCGGTGCTGAGCCATGGGGTAATTTTTTTGTGTTACCTTCAGAGTGGGCAGGGATCCTCTTGGGGATGACTAAGCCTTTCCATTGGCTTTTCTTTTATGATGTCTGATGATTGTGCCCTCCTTTATTGGGTGATGATTGGAGCTTTGGCTTCTGGAAGCTTCTTATGACAACTCACTCTTCTTTCTTGAGGGAGAGCAATGTTTGGAGACTTATTACTTTCTTGTTCCTTCTTTTTCTGGGTAGAAGGATGGTAGCTGGAGCTCTTGATTTTTGGAAGCTCTTATTATGCTGAGTTGCTTGTTTGACGACTTGCTTTGTTTTCTTGAGGGTTAGTCTCCTGTTTTCAATCACAAACATGGAGCTAG